GGGACCTCATTGCTATATTGGGTAATAAGTGGATGTGGATGTGACAAAATCACTACCAAGCATAAAAATTTATGCTTGGTACCAAGTATACCCATATTTCTCTCTCTCTCTCTCTCTCTCTATATTATATATATATATATATATATGAATGCTTGTGGTACCAAGCACAAATTTGTACTTGATTAGTTGAGGTGGCACAATCCCCTTCACTCATTCAAATGGGGGACCACATTCACATGGGTTGAGGAGTGTATGAGGATATATAACAATTTGAATGAGTGGAGGGGATTGTGCCACCTCACTACCAAGCACAATTTTTTGTGTTTGGTACCAAGCATACCTATTTTTCTCAAAAATGTAGGAACTTGGTACTAAGCACAAATTTTGTGTTTGGCAATGATGTATCTCATTCTCAACCATTTGAATGTGATCCTTCATTTGAATGAGTGGAAGAGAATGAACCACCTTGCTACCAAGCACAAAAACTTATGCTTGGTACCAAGTTTCTCTATATTTCTCTCTCTCTCTCTCTCTCTCTCTCTATATATATATATATATATATATATATTATATTATATATAGAGAGAGATGAGAGAGAATTGAGGCCGAAGGCATTTTTAATACTATTGGTGGTAGCCTAGCTCAACTCGTAGTTTCACTACTTAATCTCCGTCTTTATTTAGTATATAACTTCTTTGATTTCTTTATGCAGGAGTCTTCTACTGGCCACTATACCGGTTCTCATAATAACTCTCATCGTCTTGGTTATCGCCAATCTAGTAAACTTAGGTACCGTTGCTCACGCGGTTCTCTCAACCATTAGCATCATTATCTACTTCTGTTTCTTTGTCATGGGCTTCGGCCCAATACCCAATATCTTCTGCGCTGAGATTTTCCCTACTCGTGTTCGTGGTAATTGCATCGCTATATGTGCGTTCAGTTCTTGGGTCGGAGACATTATTGTCACCTACACTCTTCCCTTGATGTTGAGCTCTATCGGGCTCGCTGGTGTTTTTGGCATATATGCAGCTGTGTGTGTTATTTCTTTGGTGTTTGTTTTCTTGAAAGTTCCGGAAACAAAGGGCATGCCTCTTGAGGTCATCACTGAGTTCTTTGCCATTGGAGCGAAGCAAGCAGCCAGCAATTAGCGCGTTGGCCCGTGTTCGCCACTTGTGATTAACATTTCCTCGCGCCTTGATGCGTGGTTTGAAGATTTAATGAGGTTTTGGAGACTCGGAGCAGGATTGTGGTTGGTGTATTTAGCTTGAAATTGGATAGATTGAGAAACAGGGATCTTAAAGAATAATCTTTTGTTTTGTTTTTTCTGTTTTTTCCCCGTTTTCCTTTTTTCACTTTTAGGAAGTATTAAATTCTTTTGCTTTTTGTTTGTGGGAGATGTATGATGTTGCTTTTGCAGATATCGATCTTTATGTGGTGTTTCCTGAGATCTCAGAAGGCAAGTTGGTGTTTAACGAGAGAGCTTAACAGAATAGCACCTGTATATCGAAATGAGCTAACATCCAGAGGTAACTTAAATGTTGTTGCAACACTTTAAAATTTAAGCGGGGATGCAATACCCTCAATTATAGCATATTTGGGTGTTGCGAGGACATTTTCGTGTTGCAACTGTATCCAAATAAACACCCATAAATATAGTTAAAACTATACAATACTTCAACTACATCAATCCAAATACATTCATGATGTTGTAACTATATTTATAGTACTAACACACTCTAATCAAACACATTCTAAACTGTGTTGTTGAATCATGAGTGTTGTCTATTATCAAATACTTTAGATTGTCACGGAGATGTAGCAAGGTTATTGAATAAGAACATTCACAACATCCAAATTTCTTTATAATGAAAGGTAGTCTAGGGTTAGTTTGGTATTGCTTTTGTTAGATTGATGTCAAATGGTAGTCAATTTTTAGAAACAACTAGATGATATTTTTAAAAGTAGCCTCTTTTTATATTATACATATCCTTTAGTACTTTGACAATATTACTTTATGTGTCTTAAAATTATTATCTATTTTGGTGACTACATCTATTTTGATCATTTTTCACTTATAATGATTTAAGCACAATTTTATCAAAAAAATTTAACTATTTTTGAAATAGTTTACAATATATGATTATTAGAAAACTATTTTGAGTAGCTTATATAAGTTGTTTTTATAAGCTTATTATACAAACAACTTTCTTATAAGCTCCATTAATACCAAGTTAGCCCCCACTCTCCTCTAAAAATTTTCCTCTACAAGTTTAGATAGTAAGTTTGATTGTTAGGGCCTGTTTGGTTCGTTTCCCTCATTTTCCAAAAATAATTTTTCTTCACTTTTTTGTGTTTCCTTCACTTTCATGGAAAGTGTTTCTTGTGTTTGTTTCGCCAAAAAATATGGGATGAAAGTACTTTCCACCACTTTTTTTAGTTTGATTCAACTTGAAAAAAGAAGAAAACAATTTGATGTGTGAATAGATTCCCTTATTTTCTAGTGTTTGGTTCAAACTAAAAAATCAAGAAAACTTGATTGTGGTCACCATGGTGTGATTACCACCCATGTAAGACAAAATATTAACAACAAAAATTAAGGCACACAAAATATAATGCAATGCACTCAATTGACTGCAAATTCAGAAGGCAAACACACATTGCCTGAAAATTCAGTAGGCAAGCCTAAAAATTCAGTAGGCAAGAACACAACTCGTCTGAAACCAACTCGATTGAAACCAAACCAATTTTGGTCAAACCAAGTATGAAAATATCCAAGACTGAACCAAGGCTAAAACCAACTCGAGAGAAACCAAGACTCGAACAACCCAAGATTGAAATCAAACCAAAATTTAACACAATTTATAGAAAATGTGCTCAGAAAAGGCCATTTTCTTTATTATCTGCCTCGCCATGAAGTTTATAATAGCAATGTTGGCTGCATTTATTGTCTCGCCAATTGATTACTAGTATAAACTTTGGTTGCATACATTACATATCTGGCCATCATCATAACATAATATCACATTACCAATGACATAATAATCATTTCAACCAATTAAAAACAAATTAGATGAAACCCAGTTGTTTGTTGGAAATTCATAACTGAAACCAAAGGCCAGGCAACAACTGAAACCAAAGGCTAACCAAAGGCCAAAGGCTAACCAAAGGTATAAAGCCTGACAATCTATCATGAACAATGAGGATGGCAGCAATGACAACAAAAATGATTAGCAACTGATAAATATCTAACACAACTGAAACCAAACCATGGTCGTGACCCAAGCCGAGACATTTACCTGGCTGGAAATTCAAAGGCAAGCACACAACTTAGGCCAAACCAAAAGCACAAATATCCAACACAAATACCCAGCACATATATCTAACACAACTGAAACCAAACCATGGCTGTGACCAAGGCCAAGACCAACATTGGCTAGAAAATCAAAGGTAAGCACACAACTGAGTTTGAAAATATCCAAGGCTGAAACCTATTTCTGAAACCAAGGCCGAGACAACGGAAACCAAGGCTAAAACTTAATACAATTTGCACCCAACAAAAACTGCATCCAAAGCCAAGAGTTCACATTTGCTCATAAGAGCATTTAGTTCAGAAAGAGCCCCCATATATAACCAATGCTGAGAACACAACTGAGACCATGCAAGGATGAAACTATGCACACAAAAAAAACTGCAGAAAGAGCCCCCATATATAACCATGCAAGGCTGAAACCAATTCAGTTCAATTTGCACCCAACTGAAACCAAAGACCAAAGGACAAGCACACAATTGAAACCAAAGGCCAAGCACACAACTGAACATAAACTGAGCTGAAACCAATGCCGAGAGCAAGGCTAAAACCATGCACACAACAAAAACTGCAGAAATAGCCCCCATATATAACCATGCAAGGATGAAACCATGCAAAGGTAAGCACACAACTCAGGCCAAACCAAAAGCACAAATATTCAACACAAAAGCCAAGGCTGACAAATATCCAGCACAAATATCCAACACAAATACCCAACACATATATCTGACACAACTAAAACCAAACCATGGCTGTGACCAAGGCTGAGTCCAACATTGGCTAGAAAATCAAAGGCAAGCACACAACTGAGTTTGAAAATATCCAAGATTGAAACCTATATCTAAACCAAAGGCTGAGACAACTATCCAAGGCTGAAACCAAACCATTTTAACCTATTGAAAATAAATATCCAACACAACTGAAACCAAGGCAGAAACATAATACAATTTGCACCCAACAAAAACTGCATCCAAGGCCAAGAGTTCACACTTGCTCATAAGAGCATTCAGTTTAGAAAGAGCCCCCATATATAACCAATGCCGAGAGCACAACTGAAACCATGCAAGGCTGAAACCATGCACACAACAAAAACTGCAGAAAGAGTCCTCATATATAACCATGCAAGGCTGAAACCAATTCAGTTCAGTTTGCACCCAACTGAAACCAAAGGCCAACCACACATATATAACCAAACACTGGCTGAAACCAAGATCATAACCAACACAACTAAAATCAATAATTGAATATCATTTATTAATGGAAGTACAAGGCTGAGAAAATGTGCTCAGAAAAGGCCATTTTCTTCATTATCTACCTCGCCATGAAGTTTATAGTAGCAATGTTGGCTGCAATTATCATAATGACCCTACATAATAAGCATTGTCATCATGGATTGTCTCTCCAATATATTACTGCTATAAACTTCGGCTGCATATCTTAAGAATAGCCCATCATCATAACACAAAATATGCATACATCTTGAACTTTAATTCCGTGACACTAGAAATATGTAGGTTACTCTCAATCCATCAAGGTGAAATCATTCACCTTAACCCACTTGTAAATATGTCAAACAAGTTTGCATTAGCAATCTAATATCCAATATAACATGTAAAATGTATATATCATAGTCTATAATCTGAATACTAAGCTTGTAAAGTCACTACTGAGATGCACGAAGATAGAGATAGTAGTATTAGTTTTGCACAAAAGAAAGTTTAATACATCTACCATAGTTGTTAGGCACAAGAATGAGCAATCATCTATCTCATTTACATACAAAAATAATTATACAAGCATTGATATAATTAGCTAGTTTCACAAAAATATCCCAAAAGCATCCAATCTAACCTTCCACCACTCTAATCAATAGGTTGACTCTTCATGAACTCAGTTAACACCTTCTTTTGCATAATAGTTGGTATCCCCATAAACAACCTATCTTGTGATTCATTCTCATGTAATTCTTGATAAAACTTACCAAGAATTTCTATGTTAAATTCATCATCATTTGCAAATATAGCTTTTGCCAACTTCTCGGTCCAATGCATACTCACCAAGCGCATCGATGATGTGAATTGTTTTGCCTCATTTACTATCTCACGCACAAGCACCGTGTCCTCACTAGACCCCCCCCCCTCCTCCTTTACGCATCTTTTACATGTCATTTTTAGCTTTCTTCACACTAGAAGTTGGATTGGATTTTGAGGGCATAGTTGGGACCTTCGGTGGTGGAATATCATCTTCATCTAAAGAGACATAGCTAGGCTTGTTCTCCTTTAGCATACTAATATCATCATCATCATCACCAATATTATAATGTGCACTACCACCAAATTTGTCCACCACATCTACCGCATAATCTCCTATAGCAACATCATCTCTAATAATAATTGTGAGGTCTTCATAATGTTTCATGGGCTTATTGATGTATTCCCTTAGCTTAGAACTATTGATACTCTTATCCTGCATAGTTTAGGCATATATCAAATCTATATGTGAAAGACAAGGAACAAAAATGGTAAATATTTGATCAAAAACAAACATGACAAACTGGTAAATACCTCTAGCCATCTATCAAAGCAAGCATCATCCATAATTACCATCTTCTTCGCATCATCCCAACCGGCACCACTCAAGTTACGATATTTTTGCATGTCCAAAAATCTATTACAGATAGTTTTCATACTACTTTCCACGTTCTCGGCTGTGAATGTTGAACCTAATTGTTCATTGATATGAAATGCGGCATCACGATAAGCGGTTTTTTGAACTTCTTATCTGCATTCATTCCATCTTTAGCACACTTTGTAAGGAAAGGAATTAGCAAATCATCATGTTTACTCTTTGATAATTTATTAACTCTCCCCTTGCAAGCCTCTTTCTTTTTAGATTTGTGAGCAATTGCTTTCTTGTTCCTCTTTGGGTTAGGGGATGAACTTTCATCACCATCAATATCAATAGCATTTCTCTTGTTGCTTTGACAGTGTTGATTAGGTGACGGAGTTTCACCCATGCTATAACTTTGACGTTGTAAAGTTGGAGGAACATTTAGCATGTTCATAAATAAAATTGGTGGTTGTTGGCCAATTCCCCAATAGCATCTTGCATTTAAAAATTATTCCAAATATTAGGACCTTGGCCA